ACAAATCAATAAAATGCTAAGATAATCTTTAAAATAAACTGCATCAAATTAGTTTGGGAAAACTACGTGCTAAAAACACAAACCATCACAAGCATGAACAAATGCTGTTAGCTTCGTGAAGTCATTAAAGCAAAACCATCTGGGGGTTGTTCCAGGGTTACCTATCTGTATCAATAAGACGGTGCTTGTACGTTTGAGGTTGTAAGGCCATTAGCATAATATTGGTCCTACGTTTTCAGTTTTGGTCGAACGTCCACATAGGCCAAGGTGCGAAATCATACCTTTTGCCGGTTTATTTGAATTTATATTATTCAGAGGGGGGCGGGGTTGGGGCAACTAGAAATATGTTTACGTCATTATCGTCTGGATAATGAATCATCGGACACAATACGAATGGGCGTCGGAGACAAGTATAAGCATACCATTTAGCTTGACTTAGACTCCATATAGTTAGCCTATTTATTGATATTAACAATATATAATACAGTAATATGTAAAATTTAATTTCTAAAATCTAGATATTTTTTAAATAATACGATACGATTGTATTGTTTTGTAAAGTTTGAAGAAAAAATATTGCGATAAACTGAATATTTAGGATAATTAGTTTACGTGACTGTCAAAATTATATAACTTAGCTTCAAATAAATAGTTGATTATATGCAAACGAAGTTTCATAATTTTTTTTTGTTATTCATTAATTTTGCTTTTAACAATATCATCTACACTGGGTCGATTCAAGTCACGGGTTACGCTTGTGTTGAGGTTGTGCTGTAGTGGTGTGTGGTGTTCTTTTTTGTGCCTTAACCTGGGCCTCTAAATTTAACGCTACTAGTAGTGTTTACATCAGTGTATACACTAGTTTAATACCAGTGTTAACACCGATGGAAAATGAACATCTCTACAACACTATTATTAACTGTTCCACCTTTTGTATGCATTCTATTCTTTTCTGATCAGCATCGTGTTGCCGATGCGAACCTCGACACCAAAGACCTTAACTCGATTGATTTCAAATACAGAGGGAATCTCAGGTTGAGTTAGCACACCGTTACACCAGTCTTACACTGATCTAACTGGTGTTAAACACTACACCACCTTAACCCACTAGTCTCGAAACCTCGTCAGTTGACTCAATGACAGACCGTATGATACAGCGCGCACGTGCTAACCATTCGGCCACCCACCACCATTATATTTGACGTTTTACATTTAACTTTGGCCTTAGAGGTATTTTGACTTCATCATTACCGGTTTTAGGACATTGTACATAGTACTTTTTACATGTAATCAATGGAAAAGACATTTTAGCAGAGCATTTAATATTGGCAGCGGTACCCTTCCATAGTTTTGTAGTATCCGTGATGCCCTTGCAAGAAAAGGGCACGAACAACAGATCACAATATCTTGAATTACCTTATGATAGGAACTCGGCTCAAAAGATGAAAAATGAAATACATATAGGTGTAATGGGCCATGGGGATGCCAAACCCATTCTTACAGATGTAAAGAGATTTGCGATTGGTGGAAATTTTGCTACAGATTTCACTCCATATAACATTAATACGTCTGCTGATGGAACACACCCCAGAAATTTAAATCCTGAAAGAATCATCTATGGAACTATTCGTGTCAAAGAAACTAGTAATGAAACCATTAACATTAGAGATGACGAAATCATCCCTGGCATCTTGTGGAACAATTTCCGAGACAGAACAGGACATAGAAAATCTAAATGTTACTGAAATAAATGCTCAAACTGAAAATTGATGACAGCTTGAAAGAAGGTAGACGTCACCAAACAATTTGAACCATGAAAAGGACGAATTTTCTGACAGTGAGTTTTTTGTTCTTAATATAGAGCATGTTGATTTAAAGAAAAATAATGTCTCGATTTAGCCCTTTTGTTATTTTTTTAAGCAAAATTTTCGTTCTTGCCATCTATTCTACGATAATGAACGATCTACGCTTTTTTTTAAACGGACGTAACTTCACTCAGAATAAAGTAATTTGAATGAAATTTTCAATATATTCATTTTTCATTGTCTATTTTTGAACTATTCTAGTAAGAACATCCAACTCGTTATCTAAATCTTACATAATGCATCTATTCTAAATGCATATTACAGTGGATTAAGCCATGAGATATTTGACGTTTCAGTGAAAAATACAAATGACATATTGTTACGTTTAAGGCAGAGATGGTGGTCACAGGACGTGTTATATACATCGTTAAACATGCAAGAGCTAAATCTGACAATTGCGGGTCTTTATTTAGTTTTTAAATGTTAACTAAATTTTTAATTAGACATTAATTAGCTTATCAAGATCATAATCAACTTTCGATGCCATCATTAGCCTGTGACATTTAGTGGATTTGAATACGGTATGTGATGGGTGATTTAACGTAAAAATGAATAATCAAGACTTTGTTTATTATCATACCAACGGTAGTAATGACGATCGAGGCTAGCCCAAAATTGGATCACTAATATCTGGTTCAGAGTGAATCAATCTGACTGAAATATTTAGCATATTCTGTTTACATTATCTTTTTTTAAAACTATTATAGTGAGAACTGTCAGCTTTTTATCTAGTCTTACCTAATTCCCCTTTATGATAATATTTGTGTAGATTGAAATAATAGAAAATACCTAAAACAAAAATCTTCTTGTCGAATTCAGAAATTATAGAAAGAATCCCACAGAAATCAACCCGAAAGACACAAAATAAAAAAATTAAAAGTTATTGATTATCACCTGAAAGATTTTCTTTAAGGACATTTTTATTTCTTTTATTTGATACTTCTTGAGGTTATGAACATAAAAACATGTTTTAAAGAAAATACTTTGATTATTTTTATTGTTTGTTTTTTGGGTTTTTTTTTAAATTTTAGATGAAGCTATTCAAACTTTGAAGAAATCTTCTAAACTGACAAGTTTTATCCTTTTTTGCCAACACAAGGCCCAGGAATAAAAAAATCTTGAGAAAAAACCATTTCCCAAAAAGTTAAGAATATACATTTATTTTTTTTTATAAATAAATTGTTTACAAATATTACGTGGGTGAAGTGTCAAAAGGATGCATCTAAGAATTTCTAAAGATTAAGAAATAGAACCTTTTGCATTTCAAAATTTCAACAAATCAAGACACAACATTTGGACACATGATACCCAGAACAGTTCTAATTGGCGTAGAGATACACAGCTTAGACAGAAATGTGCATATTAATTGGGAGAGTTTAAAAAAAGCGGTGTATTTGACTAATTTCTCGAGATACACCCTTTTGACACTTCACCGAGGATTAGAGGAATGATATAGTATTTCACAATATATCGGATTTGTTTAGTGCTAAGATATTTCAGCACTTGTAAGTCAAGGGAGATAACCCCTTTAAGTAAGGTTACTTATATTAATTTCCCACAGATTTCAGTGTTGATTTCATTTCATATCTGGGCCTGTAACTTTTCGTGGAATCTATAATTTTTATATCAGCAAAGAACCCAAAATGTCACAATTATCTGGTGGAGCTTGACTGGCTCAATTTATTTACTATGCGAAGTCCAACAGAGCTACAGTAGCAAAGTTATTTTTCATAGGGAATTCCCCCATGGAGTTTAATGCTAAAAATCATTTATATTCACACAAACCTGTCAGAAAATCAAAACTCAATCATTTCATTAATTGATGACAAACGTTTAACACATCCTTTTAAATATGGCAGCAAGTAGTGTAGAATCATGTCACCAGTAATATAACCAAGGTATGCAGCCTGTTGTAATAATATTGCTAGATTTTTTGCTCTTGAAATAAGATGGCTTTATATTTCATTAATTAATATCTTTGGCAAGTTAGTAATTTCAAACATATTCACATATATAGTGTGCACTAAATCAACTTAGTCTGTAATTGACATATTGTTACATAAAAAGAGCTCTTAAACCAAAACAGGTGTCACAATTTACCACCAGAATTACACGTGAGTGGAATTATTCTAATTGCATCATTTGACTTAAAGTAACCAATCATATCGTTAATTGCACAGGTTCAGGGCCATGAACAGGCTTCCTGTGCATGATAAACCTGGGTGCTATATAAGATATCTATTTGAACCTTTCAAGCCAGACTTCTATTAGATTCCTGAGATCGAGGGTACATCTGAGTTCCTAGACAGCCGAGAGGCTGGATAGGGTGGAGAAGTGGTTTTAGCTATATAGTATTGTAATTTGTGCTATGGTTGTATACCTGTATTCAGCTATATATATATAAAATATGTAGAAGCAAACTGTCGCATTGTTATTCCTGGTAAGACAAACGTCTTAAGAAACTGTAAGCAGTAAATACACAACGTGAAGCAGAAGTAAAGACAGCTAAAGACAAATTCTAGACGATCACAAGGCTACAGAAATATGTAGTAAGAAAAGATGCATGGGTCGTACGTAGGATGTGGCGACCGTTTTTTTAGTACTTGTCCCCTCTCCAAGTGAGACAAAAAGACCTATGGTGCTACACTGTGTTCATTGCTGCAGTAGTGGAAACCAGGACACTTGACTTAATGACAAACCTTGTGATTTAATGCGCACCCTTTAAAAAATTCCACCACCCAACCGTCGGAGAGTATAGTGTATACTATCAATAATTTAAACTCTTATTACCCATGACTGTTATTATGTTACAGAAGTGTATTTGTTACCCAAGACTGTTCTGTTTAAAGAAGTATATTTTATTAACATAAATTACATCATCCATTTCCTCATTCTTACATTGACAGATATTTCACACTACAAACTCTTCAAACACAATTCTTTAAAGATAAATAAATATACCTGAGCTGCCAAATTCAATTTGTTTTCTTTTTGAAGAAAACATTCCCAAAGACTGCTATTATACACTATATTTCGGGTATCATTTAATCTCGTGTATCTAACACTAATTTCTTTCACATTTGTTTAATATCAAATCTTTGTTTAAAAATTCGTAAAAATCATTTAAAATAGCCCCAAATCATCTAATTTGTACTTGTGTCCAGTTTAAAGCTGACTGATTAACTTTGATAATGAGTGTCCAATTTACTTAATGTTTAATAATCAGTTGGGTTATTTATTCTTTAACAGTGATCAAGAAATTAAACAATTGTAAATTGGACACTCATTATCAAAATTGAATGGTCAGCTTTAAACTGGACAAAAGTACAAATTAGATGATTTTTGATGATTTTAAACGATTTTTACAAATTTTTAAACAAAGATTTGATATTGAACGAAGGTGAAAGAAATTAGTGCTAAATACACAATATTAAACAATACCTGGGTTACAGTGATAAGAGTTATGTGTAATTTGGAAATTACAAAACAAACTGATTTTACAGATCATACATTTGGATAGCTTCCAATAACAACAATGCATACATTCAATATTTATAGTCATCTAAGTTTATAATTAAATATAAGAAAATATTTGGTACCTAATTATTACAATGTCAGTAGTTATTTTTAATTGATTTATTGAATTTCCCCATGATTCATCAATACAATACTTGTATTTAACAATAATTACACTAATAATAAATATAAACATTAAATGACTAAAAAAAAATAATAATAATTAATAACGTCATATACTTGTAAGTATTCATGGATTTATCCAGGATTTCTACCCGCCCAACCTATCCTAAGATCAATTCAACAGAACTGTTCAAAATGTCTTCTATGAAAATTGGCCAAATATTCCTGAACTACAGTCAGATTTTGTGCATGACAATCAGAGTTCTAAGATTTTGTCATCACAAATATCTGACTTGCTGCAGTAATAATACTATGGTCTGAGAGTCTGAGACAGGAGTGCACATACACAATCACAAATTTGAAATGTTTATTTTATTTTATTAGGATTGAAAACAACCACTGTTATTCTCATTGTGGGGACAAAAGTCATCATCTTAATGAACGCATTCAAACTTTTGGATTTTATCCATATTCTGCTTTCTTCATGTCCATCAGCAATAATTCCTGGATGTCAATTCTTAAGGTGTGTCAGCCATCTTGTAAGGGATTATCGGTCGTTTCTATAGAACATTCAGTCGTCATCATCATATTCATAATCTCCTTCATCCTCATCGTTAACTTCTACAAACACAACAATAATCACATCAAATTCATTTAAAAAAACTAACTAGACTGAATTGTCGAGTTTCATTGGATTTCGAGTTTAATTTGATTTTAAATATTGATTTGTTTTTGTGGAATGACAATTTTCTTCCATGAAAATGTAAAGCTAGTGTTCCACTGTTGAGCCAAATTATAAGCTAAAATAAGTAAACAAGTTGACCTCCACCTCATCTTTTAAAACATAAATTTCACTGTATAGAGCTTGCCCCAACACTAAGCGAAATAACACATTTGATGAACCTTATTCAATTAAATTCAATACTTTTTAAGACCTAAATCAGAGAGGTTTTAGCTCCTTTAAATAATGCAAAATAATTGAGGTGTGTTCTCTCTTAGTAGGCAATGTTATAATGCTGCCACATTGTGGATTATGTGTTTCAAAAGATAGCAGAATTATTTTATGTTATTTTATCCTTAGTAATGTTGAAATTTGCATTGACAATCTTTGTTCTGGAACTAAAAACTTGGAATATCAATTAATAATTTTATTACTGACCTGTATGACCTAATAATTTAGCAGCACTCATATTTTCATCATCGTCTTCTTCTTCTTCTTCATAATAATCCCCTTCCTCCCCAATATCATCTAAAAATATTTACAATGTAGGTCTTCATGAATATTATTATTTTTTATCATTTATTAACAAAAACAGTACTCTCCCGGACTGATTGAAGTTTCAAATGGGAACAGAATGTCCAACATATATGCCCCATGTTCTGAGCAGGAACATCTATTCACTGGCAGACTCTGGCGGTTTACAAGACAAAAATTATCCCCTAAAACTGCTTCAATGCACAAATTCGGCACTATGCAGAAAATAGTTTAACCTTCGGACAGAATATGATATCTCAAAAGATCTTTCTACCGATAATGATTTTGACAATATTTTTATTATTCAAATATTAGTCACAGATGCAAAACAAAATCTGAACATCAGATTGATAATTTTTAGTTATTGGGCCAATCCCAAAGATAAACTACATTCTTTGCTTCATCTGTTACCCACTGTTTTGTGATGAAAACATTTAAATTTAGGGATCTAAACACTAATATAATATAAATATTAATTTTACCTTTATCAGGTATCTGTATTGGTCCTGTTTCAACAACAATTTCACTTTTAGTTATTTCTACTTTCGTTTTCTTCTTTGGTCCCTGAAGATGAATCACAGTTCAATGATTACTTAAAAATAAGTTGAAAACTACAAATGTAACATCTTTGAGAGTGAGGACTTCACTTCTCATCTGGCAATAAAGGTAAGCTTTGTGTTGACCTCAATCAGGACTTCAAACAGAACAGAAAAGCATCTGATGTTCAATTGAGTAATAAGAAGGCAGACATCTAATTTTAGGCAACACAAATAAAATAACTTGTTTCTCGGGCACCGCCCGCACGCAAAATTGGTTGCGCGTGCAGTCTATTTATTAGTCTTGATGAAAAAAAATAAATATGTAACGCCCGCCCGCACATCGACAAGCAAGTCGTAAAAAAAATATCCCGCATGTACCTACATCCGCCATACATGTATATCTATTCAAATGTATTAAAACTGATTCAGATGAACATGCTGTCTTTTTTATCCGAACAATGGCGAAGTTTGGCAGATTTGCCTTTTTTATTGATATCGAAAGAACCTCCATTTTGTATCACGTGATATTAATTACCTCCCCTGATAATCTAGAATTTGATTCGTGTTAAAAGTCATTGGCGACAATATTTCAATCATTCGATCGTAATCGGCTCATTATTGCCGGCTTCAGTCGGTCCTTGTTTGGAAAATCCTATTGATAAAATAATGAACCGTAGAACAGGTTAATTAATTATAGCTAAGAATACGATACGATGACGATAGTCGTCATAATGCATACCTTAGAATCTGGGTCATTATTACTATATTAGCACATTTACGGTAGTTTCGATAATCCGGAAAATAATAATTGGATTACCGATTTGATGGTTTTACTGACCAGTTGTTAGTTAGATTTAAATAGTCATTCAATATAAACACCGGATAGAACACCGAATATCCTGAGAAACACACCGAATATCCCAAGAAACAGTATTTCCGGCAATCTCCAATACCGATGACACGGTGTGACATGCATTGGTTGGAATTCGGTAAATAATTATAAATAAACCGGCGATACTAGATTTAGTTTTAAATACTGTTTACCATGATTATTATTTTTGATACACCTGGTGAAAGAGGCTTAGTTTTTAAAAATATTGTTGTCTTTATGGAGGGCTATTACATAGTCGTATGGAATTTTATTTTAAACCAATTTCAATTATGTGAATTAAATATGGAAAATTATTTTCCTTTCAGTCAGTGTTCAGTCTCAGTGTTTTAGTAGACTTGATTTTGGGTTTATGTTTTAAGTATGTACAATAAAGTTGAATATAACGGAAAGCAAAAACGTAAACAAGTAATGACTTTCTCATTTAAAAAAAAAAAAAAAGAAAGACCGCCCTCCCGCCCCAACAATTTTCAGCAATAGCCAAATTTTATTTTGCACCATCAATGAGTAAAAAAAAAAAAAGAAACCGCCCTCCCTCCCTACAGTTTCAGCTGTCAGTTGCCCGAGAAACAAGACATTTATTTTGTGTGGCCTTAATTAGGCAATACCTTACCTCGAAATCTAGACTGGCTTCTGTACTTAAACTTGGTCTTTTAAACCTGGATTATGAATTGATACATTAATTCAATTTCATGATAAACATTTGAATTTGTGTCACTCTCAGTCATATTCTTACATTTTGTCTCACATTTCTTTACATTTTGTCACGGTTTCACATTTTGTCACAGTTTCTGCTCATCCGTAGGAAGTAATCCAAATATTTTACTATCATAATAGTATATGGCGTAAATTAACCATGGGTTATGGGTTGATACACTGTCTCTTTTTTGAGTGGAGATCTCCGAGGCGAACTCAAAAAAGAGATGGTGTATCAACCCCATACACTTTGAAAACAAGGTATATTACCTATGACTTATTTTAACTTACTACAAAAAGATAACAATTCCTGTGTTTTTTGACAAATCTTGAGTATAAATATATTAGCGTCTGACAAATCGATATTTTCCACAGAAATCAATTTTTGTACAAAATGTGTACATTTTTTGAAACTATCAATATTTCTATATTAGCAATATACTTACCTATTTAGAAGACCTGATTGTACATTAGTTCGTGGCGACATGTTGACTTTTAATGGTGTAGTTTTAATGTCTTCTGGTTTACATATCAGATCATTTAATACATCGTAATTAATTTTATTGGATAATTTCTTCTCCTGTATTAACATAGAAATGGCTTCTTTAGCACTTGTTGCTTCTGTTAATGGTTTCCTTTTGACTTTCTTGACTTTCTGAAAAAATTCAAATAAAATTATCTGTAAATAAAGCTTGAGCTGAATAATAGTTGATCGTCTTTCAAATCTGCTATTAAAACCAGCGGCTGCCAGGCAGGATACGCCCACATTCATTTTGCAAGAGATGGATAAAGAACAAGCTAAACAAAAAGCCATAATTCTGGAAGTTACGATCCGATCTGCACGAATACCGACAGGAACCAAGATCTTTGGGTTATAAAGATATATTTTAATTTTCATCTAAATCGGATCAACATTGTGACTTCTAGAGGGTCCAAATCCTCAATATACCATATATTTACACTATTTGCATATGAGGGGCGGCCATTTTGTTCCACAGTTTTGGTCTGATTTTCACAAAATTCTAACTCGGCCGTCAATAAGGTGTAATGGTGAAATATTCAAACGGTTTTTTTAATCTGATAAAAATGGTGACCTTTAGAGGAACCACAAACTAAAAACGCGATTTTTTGTACAATCAAGGGCAATAATTCAGGAAGTTATGATTCGATATGCGCAAATTTTGAAATGAACCAAGATCTTTGGGTTATAAACATGTATTTCAAGTTTCATCAAAATCGGATCTAAATTATGACCTCTAGAGGATCCACAGCCTTGATATACCATATTTTTACACTATTTGCGTACGTGGGTCAGCCAATATCACAGTGTAACAGGGATATATTCAAACGTTTTTTTTAAATGGATAATATTTGTGACCTCTAGAGGGATGATAAGCTAAAAACACGATTTTTCGTACAATCGGGGGCCATAATTCAGGAAGTTACGATCCAATATGCCAAATATCGAAAGGAACCAAGATCTTTGGGTTATAAACATGCATTTTAAGTCTCATCAAAATCAGATGAAAATTGTGACCTCTTAAGTGTCCACAAATAAAAACATGATTTTTCGTACAATCAGGGGCCATAATCCATGAAGTAATCATCTAATATATGCCAATATCGACAGGAACCGAGATCTTTGGGAGATAGACCTATATTGTAAGTTTCGTTGAAATCGTATAAAAATAGTGACCTGTAGAGTGTTCACAAACAAATTGGGCTTCGATATTTATAATAAATAGTCAGCAATTAAAGACAACATTGTCCTGTATATGCAATGAATTCTGCTATGTCTTCGCACCCATTGCTAGGTACTGAGACAGCTAAGTCACGTGACACAAACATGACCTCTTTTGATCAATTTTTTGAGAAGGATTTGAAGCAAAATTATGATAAATAATTAGTTTGAAAATGTTTTTAGTCCAAATATATCATTAAATCACCCAGTTTGTACCCGTGAATGTATCTTTAAGTATGCCTAATTGACATTGTGTTTTACCCTTTTTTCTGGCTTTCCCTCATTTTCAGCCTCTTCTAAAGCTTTCTTCTCTTCTTTTTCTACAAAAAATGAAAATGTAAAAATGATTATTCATGTACATATTGTCCTAACATATTGTTGACAATTTGAATGAACAAAATTTTATTAAACAACCCTAGACATTATCTGTTACCTTTTTGCTCTTTCAAATAATCTTCATTGGCTTTCATCCATATTTCTGTTTTAATTTTAACTTCATCTTCATTTAAAAGTAGCTGAAAATAAATAATGTTATATGGGATTGTCAGTCCACAACTGTCCGAATAGATGGAGTTCCATGGAATTGAGTACTGTTACAGTTCTACAAGTCTGGTAAACAGGTGTGGTATGAGCAGAATTGTGACATAATCAAACATTTCATGATACTATCGTACTCAACTTGTACATGCCTTGTCGCCCAAAAGTCTTGTGCTTACTAAATCAACGCCTTTCAAGGTACTGAGCAATTCTGGATTGCTATGGTTGTAGCCATAACTATACCTCCATTTGTAATGAAGGAGTATTTTATTACAAGAAGGGTTTTGTTACTACAATTTCTATAAAAAAAAGCATTTCTTTACCATTTCTAGTTCTTCATCATCAATACCAGTTAAATCTAGATTGCCATCAATATCATCCTTATCATCTAATTACACAATCAAAATCATTTACTATAAATAATTATGTCATAACATCTAACACAATTTCAACAATTTGTCTTTTAGATAAGGCATAGATAAAAGACTCAACATACATGTAAATGTATATGTCAAGATGCCATTTACATGTATTTTATTTCTTTAAATATTTTTCGCAGGAGTACACAATTATTCTGTCAAATCAATGTGAAAGCCCACATCTTTCAATGTTTTCCACAACTTCATTAAAGTAAACTAGCTGATTAACATAACAATATAAAAATACAAACCATCAGATTCATTTAATGTTTGATAAACATAAAACAAATCCATTTCATCATCGCTAATAGAATCTGATTCTCCTTGTAAATATGAAGCGTGAAAAACGTAGAAAATCACAGAGAGAAGAATTATTTTTTCGTATAATAAAATTCAAAGCTAAAATAGGGGTCTTAATAACAAAACAAACCAGTGGTTGCCAGGCAAGATACGCCCACATTTTGCAAGAGATAGATAGAGAACAAGCTAAAAACAAAGGCGATTTTTCGTACAATCAGGGGCCATAATCCAGAAAGTTGTGGTCTGAAATGTGCAAATATCCAAAGGGACTGAGATCTTTGCGATATAAAAATATATTTCAAGTTTCATCAAAATTGATTAAAAATTGTGACCTCTAGAGGGTCCTCAACCTTCGTATCACATACTTTTAAACAATTTGCATACAAAAAGCAGCCATTGGTGATACATTTTAACAGTTTTTAAAATCAGACAAAAAAGTCTGAGCTCTAGAGAATCGACAAGCTAAAAAACACGATTTTTCATACAATCAGGTTCCATAATCCACGAAGTTAGTCTGCTATGCGTAAATAAGTTCCATCGAAATCTGATAACAGTTGTGACTTTTAGAGGGTCCAAAACCTTGGTATGATATACTTTTACACGAAATTTGAATTCAACTGTCATTAGGGTGTAACCATGATAAATTTAAACGTTTTTTTAAAATTAGATAAAAATAGTGACCTCTAGAGGGTTCACATGCTAAAAACATGATTTTTTGAACAATCAGGGGCCATAACCCAGGAAGTTATGGTCCAATATGCGCAAATATCAAAAGGAACCACGATCTTTGGATTATACAAATCCATTTCAAGTTTAATCAAAACGGGATAAATATTGTGATTTCTAGAGTGCCCACAAGCTAAAAACGTGATTTTTCGTACAATCAGGGTTCATAAGCCATGAAGTTATGGTCTGATACATGCCAATATCGAAAGGAACCAAGATCTCTGGGAGATAGACCTATATTTCAAGTATCAGCGAAATCGGATAACAATTGTGACCTGTAGAGTGTCCATAAACAAATCATGAATGGACGGACGGGGGCGACGGCATAATATGTCCACATCAAAATGTGTGCGTATAAAAATATTGCCTGAATCAACATGTAGGTATAAGATCAGATATTAATTTGTATTCAGAATTTGAGAATACAACATTTCTGGCAATAAAATCTGAGATTTAGCTTTTATGGTTAAACTATTTACTTACCTGGTGAATCCTTATCGGTTAAACAACCTTCCACAACTTCTGTTATACCTAAACTAGCTGCAGTTGGAGTTAATCCTTGAACACGAAAACACTCAAGGGAAGTAATTTCTTCTCCATCTTTATTAGTCCTACTGTTATTAGAGTTATCTTGTTTTAATTCACTATTAACTAGTTCACTAAATACATCTTTTTCTATATATTCTGCTGCTGCCTGAACTTCACTAGATTTACTACTGCTACAACTTGTTTCTTCTATTGTTGATGGTTCTATAAAATTAATTTTAAAAGTCAAATGTGTAACTGATTTTTCTGCACATTTGTGCCTAGCGTGATATACTATTTCTTTAAGGACTAAGTAACATTGTTTCTTGTGAATAGTAAAATCGGTCCTATAGCTTATAGTTTTTGGGGCATCCAGAAAAATCTTAAACTATGCAACAATTCTTATTTATGTAGGATGTGTCCTAGAAACTGATCAACACTACTACTCAAAACAGCTGACACTGAACTCAACAGGGCCTAAACTAAAAATTCTGCGCTACAGGATTTATCCTTTACATTTGTCTTTCAATCCACTAGCGTGAAACTGTCTTAATGAAATCAAAGTGCAAAATAGAGTAATAACTTACTATTATAAGAACTATATATTCCACCTTTAGGTCGTTTAGCTTCTAAAGATTTCTCTATTTCTCCTTGAATATTACTAACTTCTTCTGTTAAATCTACAAATTTATTTGGTTCTAACTGAAATATATAAAAACAAAACAATGCATATAGCAAATGAAATAATGGTACAGCTACATTAAGCGATATTGTATTAATGTTAGTTTTGGTGGTGCAGTGTCCAAATACATTATTAATATAAAGCCATAAAATTAGTTGTACCCGGTATACATTTCATATATCTTTAGGATGGCTTAATGCCTTTTCTTCTTTAACCAGCGGTTGCCAGGCAAGATACTCCCACATTTTGCAAGAGATGATAGAGAACAAGCTAAAAAAAATCCAGAAAGTTATGGTTTGAAATGCGCGAATATCGAAAGGGACTGAGATATTTGGGATATAAAGATATATTTTAAGTTTCATCAAAACCGGATAAAAATTGTGTCTTCTAGAGGGTCCACAACCTTGGTATTATATATATTATTTTTTTACATTATTTGCGTACAAGGAACAGCCATTTTGTCAGGCTAAAATGTGATTTTTCGAACAATCAGGGGCCATAATTCAGGAAGTTACGTTTCGATATGCGTGAATATCGACAGGAACCGAGATGTTTGGGTTATCAACATGTATTTCATCAAAATCAGATCAAAATTGTGACCTCTAGAGGGTGCACCTTGATATACCATATTTTTACAGAACTATGATTGTGGTGTAACGGTGATATAATAGTACATGGGGTTTTTTTTAAATCGGATAAAAATTGTGGCCCCTAGAGGATCCAATATGCGCGAATATCAAAAGGAACCAAGATCTTTGGCTAATAAACATACGTTTTAAGTTTTATCAATATCGGATCAAAATTGTGACCTCTATTTTCGTACAAAAAGGGGCCATAATCCATGAAATTACTATCCAATACATGCAAAATGAAATGGGGTTTAACGTCCTACTGTCCAATACATACCAATATCAAAAGGAACTGATAATCTTTGGGATATAAACCTATATTTCAAATTTTGTCAAAATCAGATAAAAATTGTGACATGGGTAGTGTCCACAAACAAATTGTGTATGGACGGACGTCCAGACGGACTGACTCCCTGACGGACAGGGGTGGTGACAATATAAGTCTACATGAAAATGTGGACCTATAAAAAACACAAAAAATAAAATTGACAATATATTGTGGTATTACAATATGTCAGCTGTGTATCAAAGTTGTTTTATACAAAAATTAGTCACACTGATAATTTAAAACAAATAAATGATCTATTTTCAAGCACAGATCAATCTTGATCAGTTTTATTTACCTGTGATAATTTAGCTTTTTTCTTGCCCTGAATAAAACATGGTGGATCTCTTTCTTCCTCTAGATCTATTCTATGAAACTCATCTATAGTAAGCTGACTAGAAGGTGTGTCTTGAAATTCTGTTAACCTAGTAATAATACAAAGACAATTGTTATTAACCCTTTGAACATTGAGCCTCTCATGCAATGATATACACTTGGTTCCTCAAGCAATAAAATAAATGAAATACTAACCAGTAACTCTAGCTTATGGCATAACACTACAACAATGTCAATAATAAATGGTTAAAGAACTTTTCTTTTAACATTGTATTACCCCCAAACAAATATTAACACTTTTTAGCATAATTAATTTTCCTTCCTGTAAATCCTTATATTTAAGGTCATACTTCTTGTTCCCTAAATTTGTGTGTGATATACATACATAAGTTTTAACACTTATAACATTTAGAAAAGACATTGATATATCTTGTAAAGAAGTATCCGATCATGACTTAAGCTAGAAAAATACAATGTTTGGATAAAATGCTTATGGTTTACCCAGGATCCATTCACTTGATTTGACATTATACTTCTGTTGTTTATTACTTGCCATATCTGTGTATTGTGTTCTTGTACAAGTGTTTGATTGTGTGAAGAGCATTCTTCCAGCTTTTCCTATCAGAACATTCACATTTTGTTAAAGCAGAAACTGTAATCAATTCTTTTCATAAAATATATATATATATATATATACCTTTTTCTAACAGTAGCTTCACAGACTTTAACAACTTTAATAATATCTTTTACAGTTCGACAAAAATCATGAATTCTAGCAGCAACCAGAAGAGCTGAAAATATGCAAATAACACCTGAATTTAACATATAATAAATAGTATTTTACTATCATTTCACTATAATTCTATATTACATATACTTCACATACAACATGTAGATATAAATACTTAAATGTGGTCAAATAAATATGAAATGAATCTTCTACGGTATTAACAGAAAGAATACAAGTTTAAGTGAATCCTGAAATTGCGGGTCAAACATATTAGAAAGAGGAGGACATGTAAAGGAACTTAAATAAAAGTATGAATTATTTACCAGCTCCACAGAGACCAGATGGTCTACGTCCTGTATGCATCCAATCTCTCTTCATTCTCTGAACCAATCGTAAAGCTGTCATTGATACGTCATGGGTTTTATCAGCAAATTCTAATTTATATGCAAATCGTGGAATGTAAAGGCTTGGATCTGAAAAATATCAACAAAAAAATTTAATTACATTGTACCTTACATATTTCTTTTTATTAAGATCGATGGCATGTTTAGAAAATGCAAAGAATTTTCCTCAATAACCACATAGTGCCGAGTTGACAATTGTGGTCAGCAAATAACAAAAGTACCGTGAACTTATATAGTTTATTCCTTATCGGCAGTGGCTATTTGCCACATGTGGTAAGCAAGAATGTCAAAATAGCCCTGCGGCTACAGACCACAATTATTAACCGATTTCAATGAAACTTACAGATTATAATAACATTAATAATATCTCAAAATAGCCAAAATTTCGGCCACTTCCGGTTAGCGGTTTCCGAGATATCAGGTTACCACACATTTTATGTGGCACGGCTACAGACCACAATTATCAACCGATTTCAATGAAACGTACAGCTTATAATAACATTAATGATATCTCAAACTAGCCAAAATTTCGGCCACTTCCGGTTAGCGGTTTCCGAGATATCAGGTTACCACACATTTCATGTGGCACGGCTACAGACCACAATTATCAACTGATTTTAATGAAACTTACAGATTATTATAACATTAGTAATATCTCAAACTAGCCAAAATTTCGGCCACTTCCGGTTAGCGGTTTCGGAGATATCAGGCTACCACACAATTCATGTGGCACGGCTACAGACCACAATTATCAACCGATTTCAATGAAACTTACAGATTATAATAACATTAATAATATCTCAGCATAGCCAAAATTTCGGCCACTTCCGGTTAGCGGTTTCGGAGATATCAGGTTACCACACAATTCATGTGGCACGGCTACAGACCACAATTATCAACCGATTTCAATGAAACTTACAGATTATAATAACATTAATAATATCTCAAAATAGCCAAAATTTCGGCCACTTCCGGTTAGCGGTTTCCGAGATATCAGGTTACCACACATTTCATGTGGCACGGCTACAGACCCCAATTATCAACCGATTTCAATGAAACTTGCAGATTATAATAACATTAATAATATCTCAAACTAGCCAAAATTTCGGCCACTTCCGGTTAGCGGTTTCGGAGATATCAGGTTACCACACAATTCATGTGGCACGGCTACAGACCACAATTATCAACCGATTTCAATGAAACTTACAGATTATAATAAGAGTCTTAATATCTCAAACTAGCCAAAATTTCGGCCACTTCCGGTTAGCGGTTTCCGAGATATCAGGTTACCACATATTTCATGTGGCACGGCTACAGACCACAATTATCAACCGAGTTCAATGAAACTTACAGATTATAATAACATTAATAATATCTCAAACTAGCCAAAATTTCGGCCCCTTCCGGTTAGCGGTTTCTGAGATATCAGGTTACCACACATTTCATGTGGCACGGCTACAGACCACAATTATCAACCGATTTCAATAAAACTTAAAGATTATAATAACATTAATAATATCTCAAACTAGCCAAAATTTCGGCCACTTCCGGTTAGCGGTTTTCGACATATCAGGTTACCACACATTTCATGTGGCACGGCTACAGACCAAAATTATCAACCGATTTCATTGAAACTTTAAGATTATAATAACGTTAATAATATCTCCAACTAGCCAAAATTTCGGCCACTTCCGGTTAGCGGTTTCTGAAATATCAGGTTACCACACATTTCATGTGGCACGGCTACAGACCCCAATTATCAACTGATTTCAATTAAACTTACAGATTATAAAAACATTAATAATATCTCAAACTAACCAAAATTTCGGCCACTTCCGGTTAGCGGTTTCGGATATATCAGGTTACCACACATTTCATGTGGCACGGCTACAGACCACAATTATCCACTGATTTCAATTAAATTTTAAGATTTTAATAACATTAATAATATCTCAATTTAGCCAAAATTTTGGCCACTTCCGGTTAGCGGTTTCCGAGATATCAGGTTACCACACATTTTATGTGGCACGGCTACAGACCACAATTATCAAACGATTTCAATGAAACTTACAGATTATAATAACATTAATAATATCTCAATTTAGCCAAAATTTAATTTCAATTAAACTTACAGATTATAAAAACAATAATAATATCTCAAACTAGCCAAAATTTCGGCCACTTCAGTTTAGCGGTTTCGGAGATATCAGGTTACCACACATTTCATGTGGCACGGCTACAGACCACAATTATCCACCGATTTCAATTAAACTTACAGATTATAATAACATTAATAGTATCTCAAACTAGCCAAAATTTCGGCCACTTCCGGTTAGCGGTTTCCGAGATATCAGGTTACCACACATTTCATGTGGCACGGCTACAGATCACAATTATCAACTGATTTCAATAAAACTTAAAGATTATAATAACATTTATAATATCTCAAACTAGCCAAAATTTCGGCCACTTCCGGTTAGCGGTTTCCGAGATATCAGGTTACCACACATTTCATGTGGCACGGCTACAGACCACAATTATCAACCGATTTCAATGAAACTTACAGATTATAATAACATTAATAATATCTCAAATTAGCCAAAATTTTGGCCACTTCCGGTTAGCCGTTTCCAAGATATCAGGTTACCACACATTTCATGTGGCACGGCTACAGACCACAATTATCAACCGATTTCAATGAAACTTAAAGATTATAATGACGTTAATAATATCTCAAACTAGCCAAAATTTCGGCCACTTCCGGTTAGCGGTTTCGGAGATATCAGGTTACCACACATTTCATGTGGCACGGCTACAGACCAAAATTATCAACCGATTTCAATGAAACTTACAGATTATAATAAGAGTATTAAGAGCTCAAATTAGCCAAAATTTCGGCCACTTCCGGTTAGCGGTTTCCGAGATATCAGGTTACCACACATTTCATGTGGCACGGCTACAGACCATAATTATCAACCGATTTCAATGAAACTTACAGATTACAATAAGAGTATTAATATCTCAAACTAGTCAAAATTTCATGTGGCACGGCTACAGACCACATTTATATACCGATTTCAATGAAACTTACAGATTATAATAAGAGTATTAATATCTCAAACTAGCCAAAATTTCGGCCACTTCCGGTTAGCGGTTTCCGAGATATTAGGTTACCAAACATTTCCTGTGGCACGGCTACAGACCACAATTATGTACCGATTGCAATGAAACTTACAGATTATAATAACAATAATAATATCTCAAACTAGCCAAAATTTCGGCCACTTCCGGTTAGCGGTTTCCGAGATATCAGGTTACCACACATTTCATGTGGCACGGCTACAGACCATAATTATCAACCGATTTCAATGAAACTTACAGATTATAATAACAATAATAATATCTCAAACTAGCCAAAATTTCCGAGATATCAGGTTACCACACATTTCATGTGGCACGGCTACAGACCACAATTACCAACAGATTTTAATGAAACGTGCCGATTGTAATAGTATTAATAATATCTCAAGTTGGCCACTTCCTGTTAGCGGTTTCCAGTACCCTACACCTGGCTCGCAAACCTAAGCAGATTCCATTACCCTACATCTAGCTAGATGCAGGATACCGGAATCTGCCGAGGTTTGCCGAGTGATAACGGACGTCATTGTTGGTCACGTTTCCTTGACGTCATTTTAATGTCCATGGAAACAGTTGTTTATTGCAATCTGTGAAACATATTTTTTATTGGTCAATAGTCAGAATGCTTCAGTGTTGTCATAGATTCATGACGTCATTAGAGTAAATCTTTAGATCGAGTTAATTTAAATTTCAATCACTTCTTCTAAATCACTTGAAGAGCAGGGTTTTTTGGTTAACGAAAGGATTAGCTTTACTCTTAGAATTCGTTCATACATAGTAAATTAATTTTAGCATTGGCTTCCAATCATTTCATCTAAGTAATTGGTTTGTAAGATCAATCGAAGGATTTCTCTTTAAACTAGTTAAAACTTGCAAATTCATTTTTGTTATATTATTCAACGGTTTGTAAGATTAAGCAAAGGTCTGTACAATTAATAAAATGGTTTCTCTGTGAATTTGTTCAAAAACTGTGAATTCATTTAAGCATATTATAAATCATTTCATTTAAGCACACTCTAAAAACTGGTCTGTAAAATTAATAAAGGGTTACTCTGTGAAACGGGGTTGTTAAATTATTCAAAGGATTACTCTTTGAATTTGTTCATTTTAGCATAGCATTCATTTCATTGAAGCACACTCTAAAACGGGGTTGTTACACCGTGAATTTATTTTAGCATACCAACCATTTCATTTTATTCGAAGGATTATTTTGCCATACCAAGCATTTCATTTTTTTCGAAGGATTATTTTGCCATACCAAGCATTTCATTTTATTCGAAGGATTATTCTCTGATTATTTAACATACCAAGTTTAAAACCAAGTATTTCATTGTATTCGAAAGATTTATTTGGCATACCAACCATTTCATTTTATTCGAAGGATTACTCTCTGATTTTTTATACACCGAAAACAGGTTTGTTAATTAAGAAAAGGTCTAAAATTATTAAAAGGATTTCTCTTTGAATTGGTTCTAATACTGTGTGTTTATTTTAGCAAAACATTCATTTTATTTAAGCACACTCTAAAAACTGGTTTGTTATATTATTCAAAGGATTACTCTTTGAATTTGTTCTAACACCGTGCGTTTTAGCGTAGCATTCATTTCATTGATACACACTCTAAAACGGGGTTTGTTACACCGTGAATTGATTTTAGGATACCAACCATTTCATTTTATTAGAACGATTATTTTGCCATACCAACCATTTCACTTTAGCATACCAAGTTCAAAACCAACCATTTTATTTTATTCGAAGGATTATTTTGCCATACCAACCATTTCATTTTATTCGAAGGATTACTCTCTGATTATTTAGCATACCAAGTTCAAAACCAAGCATTTCATTTTATTCGAAGGATTATTTTGCCATACCAACCATTTCATTTTATTTGAAGGATTACTCTCTGATTATTTACACACCGAAAACAG